TATATATAACTAAGGAGTTATAATTATGTGTCTGCAGTTTGTAGGAGTCACCACCAGATGGTAACATTTTTACTAGATAACATTTTTATTTCCACATAAAACTTAAAAAGGAGATACAGTATATAAAGTACAGTATTAATAATAAGAACTATATAACTATCTTTCAAGGGTAAGATATTTAGATGTAGCATAGGATTTTTTTTTTTTTTTGGTAGGACCAGGGATTGAACTCAGGCCCTTGTGCTTGCCAGGGAAACTTATTCTACTGAACCATCTCCCCAGCCAGCATAGGATGTATAAAAGGGTATTTTCTATGCTACAAAACCCATTTTTATCATGTTAATTACTAAAGAGTAAGTAAATTTAAGGTTTGTAAAGCTTACTCGTTCCATCTCTATAAGAATCTGGGGTATCCGTTCATGTTTATGCACAGCCCAATTAGATTTTTCTTGTAGATACATCTACTGGCTTGGACTTTGAAATGTTATAGATAAATAATTTGATTGTAACTAGTCTCTCAAACATCTTCAAGCTATGTGATCATGGTGTTGTTTCAATACAGGAGAATTGTTAAAGTCTATCTATGGTGTGTATAATTTAATAACCAAGAGAAATTAAATAAGAATACCTTTGCTTGTTTGCTTTTGTTTTGTTTTGTTTCATTTCCCCCATCCTAGTTCCATGTTAAGTGAAAAGAAAATGGAAAACAGGCAAGAAAATGGCTATTATTGTCTTCCAATCTAGTTCATACACTCTGTGAACCTTGACTGTCATCATCTTCCATTCAAAATGCTCAATAGTTTTTAAAAAAAATTGTTTGCACTTAAATCTTTACTATTTTCTTCAGTTGCATTATCATCCTAATTTCAGTGTTACTAAACATTGCATTTTAAACTAGTAATATTACTTTTATCCTTCAGAAAAGTATACACCTAAATATATCAAAATCTCTCCTTTACAAACCATTATTAGAGGGGCCGGGGAGATGGCTCAGTGGAATAAG